ATGTGCAGATACGATTGCTCAGTCATGCGTATGCACAAACTTCAGTTTTAAAAGAAAATCCATCCCGTTTGCCATGGAAGCGGCACCTAGTGATTGCTGATGTGATCGCGCCACACCGCTTCTTTGCCGCGCTGCAGGATCATCATGTGATCGGCAGCTGCCCCCATGCTGCTCATTCTCTGGCTGTAAGTTTGAACCTTGCCCGCTAGTCTAACGTATTTGATGAAGTGTGCGTGGACACAAAAGCTCATACCTTGAATAAACCTTTGTTGGTCTTAAAGATGCCGCTGGACTAAAAAAAAGCAGCGTATGTTCTGGCTTAAGAGATAAAGTAGTATTTCGAAGCAGGAGGAATAACAGCAAGGAAAAGGAAACAAAAAAAATCACCTGGTGCCTTCAAGGACAACAGATTTTGCACCAGGCGCACCTACGTAGGGGAAATCCTAGAGTCCTTGTGCCACAAGAGGAACTGCTTCAATCCCTGGTGCTCACCTATCTTCTCTCTCTCAAAGGAGGAGGGGAGCCCAGAGCAGAGGACACTCTTAACTGTCAGCACAGTGTACTACTACATTTGTGCCCAGTCCAGGAATTTAATTGCTAGCTATACTCAGGGGTCATTTCCTGCAGGAGCGCACAGGAGTGGAGTTCCGGCAGTAAAGAGCCCAGGGGGGCGGGCACATGCAACAAGCCCCACCCCCTGCTCCCAGCAGCCCTCAGTCAGAGCAAGAAGCAGCCAGGTAAGTTGCAGAGCTCCCCCCGCCCCCCCGGTCCGAAACAGTCCAGTGGCACCTTTAAGACCAAGTTTTATTGAGGTACAAGCTCTCCCTCCTCTGCGAGGACAGATCTGCATGCCCTCCCCCAATAGCTAGCAATCCAAAACAGTCCAGTGGAGCCTGAGTGGTGGATGTTGCCTTCTGACACACTTCCGGTGATGCCAGGGGGTGTGGCATATGCAAATAAGTTATGCTAATGAGTTATGCTAATGAGCTCCTACACCTCTTTTTCTACTAAATGACCCTGGCTATGCTGTTTGGGTTGATTTCTGACCTTGCCTGCCTCAAAAGGCCTGAGATACCGGAAATACAAAAAAACCCCTTTCAGTTTACTAGAACTCAGCCCCCCCCCAACACTTCAGGATTGCTTCTCTCAATTGTCAGTGCGCACCAAATACGGTATTGCAGTTCAGTCTTTCTTACTCTTCCCAGTGCTTAAACTGCCCTGACCTGGCTAGCCCAGGCTAGCCCAATCTTGTAAGGTCTCAGAAGCTAAGCAGGGTTGGCCCTGGTTAGTATTTAGATGGGAGACCCCCAAGTTCAGGGTTACCACGCAGAGGCAAGTAATAGCAAACCGCCTCTGAATGTCTTTTGCCTTAAAAACCCTACAGGACTGCCATAAGTTGGTTGCAACTCGTCAGCAAAAAAGAAGGAGGGGGGGGGCTAAATTGGCCAACTTTTGCATGAATTATGAAACCATTTGACGGTGCCACTCAGACAAGGTGGGGTTCTGTCTATTCAGAGGGTTCTCCAGGTACAGAGAAACATGACTAAGAATAAGGTGGTGGTGGTGCTTAGTTTACAGCCTGATGAGGACTAAATATGCCCCAGAAGATATGGAATGTTGAGAGCAGCTATCAAAGGAAGACAGCAGGGAAAGGAAGTCAGCCTATTCAGTCCCTTGAGAGTTTATAGCAATCTCAATGAGAGACTTCCAAATTGCTCTCTCTCAAAATGTTTTACAGGCCTGCAGCTCATACAGATATAGTAAGAGCTGTTTAGGTCATGGGGAAGATGGGTTTTGTGTATGCTTAAGTTCTTTTAAGGAGCTGCGGTGGCTCAAGTGGTTAAGACGCTGAACTGCAGGCTGTGGAAAGTCAGTAGTTCAGCAGTTCAAGACCCGGGTGCCGCATGATGGAGTGAGCTCCCATCTGTAGTTCCAGCTCCTGCCAACCTAGCAGTTCGAAAGCAAGAAATTGCAAGTAGATAAATAGGTACCACTTTGGTGGGAAGGTAACAGCGTTCCGTGCACCTTGGTGTTTAGTCATGCCGGCCACATGACCACGGAAACGTCTTCGGACAGCGCTGGCTCTTCGGTTTTGAAACGGAGATGAGCACCACAACCCTAGAGTCGGATTCGACTGGCTTTCGAGCAAGGGAACCTTTACCTTTTAAAGTTCTTTTTGCAGGGTATGCCAACTAATAGGAAGTAGTTCAATCCCTTAGTATTTTCAGTATTATACTTGGGACCCCTACTTCATTAAGCATTTCAAACCAATCTTTGGAGAATGTCTGCCTGCAAGGCCAAGTCATCTCATCTCAACAGGTTGCTTTTTTTAAGTAACAATAACATTGCTCACAATCAGGTGTAACAATTAAAAGTAAAGGTACCTCGGCTTGAGCCTTAAGTACACCTCTTAAGAAACTGGACAGAAAAAAACTAGGGCTGTACATTTGGATCTACCCGAGACAAAAAACATACCTGAAAAAATATGCTATCGGTATTTTTCGGGTATACTTTGGCTCTCCAAATGTATCTGGGTTTTCTCGGGAAAACCAGAAAAAAATCCCGAGAAAATCCCAGATATATTTGGGGATTTTGGATCAATTTGAAAACAACGGAGAGGCAAAAGCAGATTTCTCCCACCTCTCAACTGTTTGTGAGACAGGCTTATACAGTCTCCTTAAGTGACTGCGGAATTCAGCCTGAGGATTAGCTGGGGTGGCAAGGAACGGAGAACTCCCCACCGCCAAGGCTGTGGCTGGCTTCTCTGGCAGTCCGGTCTGAACTGGGCCGCAAGAAAAGCCAGCCCAGGATCAGTTGGGTCGGTGGGGAGTTGAGAGCTCCCCACTGGTGCAGCTCTGCACTGCCTTCCCCTGCCACCCCGTTTAAACCAGGTGGGCAGGAGGAGCCAAGCCAGCCCAGGATCAGGCTGGTATTTTTTTTTTCAACTGGCTTTTTTCGATTTGGGGCTGTTAGACCTGAAAAATTGCGAGATTTCCAAAAAATCCCAGATCCAAATACCATACCGGTATTTGGATCCGGGATTTTTCAGGAATTAAAAAAAAAATGTCCGGTCGAATGGACCCAAACTGAAAAATACTTGTTTAAAAAAAGATCGCACACCCCTAAAAGCGATCTGCATCAGGTCTAAAGGCAGTACATTACCTTTGCTTCGTCTGGCGTCTGGGCTGCTTTCCCTTCTCCGTGCAGCACGCTGTCCCAGAAGTCGGCATCGTTGCTTGAGTCACTCTCGGGAGGAGGAGCTGGAGTCACTGACCGACATGGAATGGAAGCGTGTAAGAGGGTGGGAAGCAGGAAGGTTTCACAACTGCCGCTCCCATCATTGGCTTGGGACAAAATGCTGAGAATCTCAGCTCCCATTCCCAAGATTCTAGTGCCAAAGGTGGCAAAGATGAGCCTTGCCTTAACAGGGTTCCCACTAAGATGTGCGGATGGAATGGCCATTCATTAAGCAGCAAGATCTAGAGACACATGACAAAGATGTTTGTGAGGCTTTTTATACATACCTTATCTTTTAGATGTTCTAATTCAGCAACTGTGCATTTGGCACCTGGCACATGACTTTCACCTTTCGAAGCCTCACAAACATCTTTGTCATGTGTCTCCAGATCTTGCTCCTTAAGTAAGTAACATAGCCATTTTTATCATATCGTAAGTTAAAAAACGTTTTAAATCTTTGATTATTCATATTCCATATTCTTTTTATCTCTCTTCTCGACAGCCTTCCTCTTCCCAGTCCAATGTTCACTTATTGGTTATCTTATTGAAATATGCATTTAAGTTAAGTGTACCTCAATATTGTTTGACCTCTGAAGATGACCCCAATAGGGCAGAAATGCATCAGGTCATGTGTATTGGCCCTTGTGTTTAGGCTATACTTTTTACGAGGCTTTCATTTGGCCCCTATGTATGTTTTAACTGTCTTTCTAAGAAATACTTGTATTTTTGTATATTATAAGTTTTAACTAGGTTTTTAATATTGGCCCTTCATTAGACTTTCTTCTCACCCTTCTGGTTCTTGATTCCAGTTTTTGGGTCAGATTTGTTTTCCCCTCCCTGTGTCTTACTGTAGAGGATTTCTAGGAACCAGGAGGCAAGCCTTCAGCACCCTGGACAGCACCCCAGCTCTTGCCATGACAACTGAAGCAGAAAATGTTACGCAAACTTAAGTATTCGCAGGCAAGCTGGCGTAATCTCAAATTGGCCTACTCATATGTCACGGTACCACAACCAGTGTTCCCTCTAAGCTGAGTCAGTGTGAGCTAGCTCACAGTTTTTTAGCCTCCAACTCACACATTTTCGTCTTAGCTCAGGAAAGAACGGCTCCAGAGCCAACTAATTTATGCAGTAGCCAGATCGCTCGCTCACAGCTTTAATGCCAGTAGCTCACAAAGTAGAATTTTTGCTCACAAGACTCCACAGCTTAGAGGGAGCACTGACCACAACCAGCACTGCACCAGACCGGGCAGCTGATCACTGGGATGTCACCGCTGCATACACGGAAAGTGCATTTGAAACAAGACAAGGAATGAGCAGAACACTTACAAGGAGAAGGACCTCAGCTGTGGCCAGCATCCTAGACAAGTCTTGTTTAGGTCTTTTTCCCCAATGGGAGACTTGAAGTGGCTTATAACAACGTTCCCCCACCCCCCATTATCCTCACAACAACCCTATGAGATAGGTGAAACTGAGAGCAAGCGAGTGGCCCAAGGTCACCCAGTAAAATTCTGTAGTGGAGTAAGGATTTTAACCCGGGTCTCCCAGATCCTGGTCTGACACTCTAACTGCTACACCTCAGTGTCCTTAAGTACTGAGAATGCATCAAGTAACTTGGATAGCAGAGCACAGCACATCAGAGTTGCAGCAGTGGTGAATTCCGGTGGAATTTATATCTTCCTCCCCAGTGAAATCAATTAAAACTCCTGGCCATTTGTTCAGCTGAGAACTGCTTCCCCAGACAACATCTGTATGGATCCGGCACTCTGGCTTTGGCCTGCTCTCCCCTCCCACTGGGTCAAGAAGTAGGTGAGGCCGCCCTGACCTGGATAGCCTGGGCAAGCTCGATCTCTTCAGATATGGAAGCTAAGCAGGGCCCCACCCTGGCAAGCCTTTGAATGGGAGACCTCCAAAGACTACCAGGGCCGGGAGGCAGAGGCAGGCTATCAAGCCACTTCTCTGAACGTCCTCCAGGCCCCTGTAGGAATCACCAGAGGTCACCATGACTTCGAGGCATGGACACACACACAAATTGCAAAAAAAAAAAAGGTAGGTGAGGCCTATTAGTCATGGTGGCTAAAACTGGAATCACCATCTACAGAAGCAGAACACCAATTACTAGGTTGTGGGAGCAGCCACAAACACTGTGCCCTGAATGAAACTTTCCCACTGCATCGGCTGTACACTGTCCAAACACATTACAGTAGATTAAATCAGATCTGGCCCAGCGCAGCAAGTTCTCGTATTGTCAGTGACTGCTGTTTCCAAAAGGCAAAGTGCATACCAGCTCCACAAAACAGCAGATTCATTCTGGATCCCCAGGTTTGCATTGACAGAATTTGGGTTGGCTATGTGTAGTTAAAAGCCAGGAGATGGTGAACTGCAAGAACCTTGTGCATAACTTTCAGCTCATGTACCCAGGGGTCAATACAGATATAGCTTTATACTAGGTATTTGGAGTTGTTCTTTGACTTTAAAAAGAAGATCATGTAAATATTGAGATATATGTCAGAGTGACAGAGGTAGCAAGCAGTTACTATAGATCAGTTTGATCTGTTTGTCAGACCTAGCTGTCATGCTGATCATCATGTAATTACAGCCAGGGTTTTTTCTAGCAGGTGTTACTCTTTCTGGGCTTGTTAGAGCTAGTGATTACATCACCCTGTTAGAGATTGGCTGGGGTTTAGCATAATAGGTATCAGCTTAGTAAGCTAGATGGGGACTTAGTTCTCATAGACTAAGGCACGACATGCTGTTCAATAGCCTGTAAATATCTCTGTATATATTCACCTTTATAACTATATAAACTCTCTGTGCACCTTCATAACTGGTCAGTCTCCCGCTTCTTATTTACAACACCCAATAGTAAACCCATGTCTGAGTTCAAGCCAACGGCTCCACCTCCCTTCTCCCCCAGCATTTGATTTCTGCAGAATCCCTGGGGGACTTCCTTTCACAGAGCGGGGCCATACCATTTCCTTCTGAATCTGGAGCAGCAGAATTGGCATCCCGCTCATTCCACAGCCGGGTGTCCAGAGTCTTCAGCTCCTCAGAAATCTCCTCCACTTTGCGCTTGGTGTCAGCTGTGCGGGAGGGGGGAGAAATGTTACCCAACAGAGAAAACCCAGGCTCACACAAGGATCTGCCAACTGTCCGCGCCAAAAAGATCAGCTTTGTAACACTGAATGCAGAAGAGGTCAGAAACACCAAGTTCCATCATTGGCAGAACTGAACCACAGTTCTGGTGCTGAAGTATTACCCCAATTGCTCTCCTGCCCCACAATAATTTTGACACAACATGGGGAGAATCTGAAATAGGAACGTCCAGAGGACAGAACTACAGTATTCTGGGTCAAAAAAACGAAACGGCCATCCGGGAACTAACTTCTGCAAGAGAAAGATGCCTTGTTTGTTTGGGGGTTGCACAAAATTTGGAATGAGGACCTAGATATGGGAAACAGGCCAAAGAAGCAGGGATGGGAGACAGAGACCAGCTGCATGAACCGCTGTCTTTTAAGCGCTGTCTTCTAAGCCTTTTCAAGTTTTTGTAGTCAAAGGCTAGACCGCCACACTCCCAAGAAATCCTCCTCTCTGATGGAACTCTCATCAGTGGCCTGTCAGGTAGAATGAAGAAGAGGGAGAGCCATGTGTAAGCCACCTCCATCAGCCTGGAGGAATGCGAACGCAGGAGTGACTCATCTATCGCATTACGGGCTTCATGCTTGGATTTTAAGACGTTGTTACTATATTCTGGGATTGCATTTGATGTATTTTTTTAAAAAGCGGAACTTGCTCCCAGTGATGGGAGGGGAGATGATATTAGTTTAAGACACACAACTGGTCCAAAATGTGGCCACGTGAACAATGTTCCATTTAAGCTGTGCAGTCTTGTGAGCAAAAATTCTACTTTGTGAGCTACTAGCATTAAAGTTGTGAGCGAGTGATGTGGCTACTGCATAAATTAGTTTGCTCTGGAGCCATCCTTCCTGAAGTAAGACAAAAAACTGTGAGCCGGAGGCTAAAAAACTGTGAGCTAGCTCACACTAACTCAGCTTAGAGGGAACAATGCACGTGGGTCCTCACAGGGACGCCCCCCCCGGATGGCACACATCCAACCTATGCTACACAAGCTGCATTGGCTTACTGTGGAGCACCAGGTCAGGTTCAAGGTTCTGGTTTTGACCTTTAAGGGCCTTAGCCGTCAGGGACCCACATACCTTTGGGACTGCCTCTCTCAATATGCCCCCAGAAGAGCATTACACTCAGGGAATAAGAACCTCCTGGCCTGAGAGAGATCCGGCTGCCCTCAAATAGGGCCAGGGCTGTGTCGGCTCTGGCCCCCGCCTGGTGGAAGTCTCCGCCGGAGAACATCCGTGTCCTGTGGGAATTACTACCTTTCCGCAGGGCATGTAGGGCAGAGATGTTCTGCCAGGCATTTGGTTGAGGACAGTGATAGGACAGTACGAAATCTGGCTCTCTCACACACAAACACTACCCTCCGCAACCTTCCCCCCCCAGGAGGCCTGTAGAAGCTGAATTTTTTTATTTCCCCACCATCTTGGATTGTGTACTGGGTGTTTTTTTTGTTGATATATATTCTAGGTATTTTAATATTGTGTTTTATATTAATTAATAATTGTTGTAAGCTACCCTAACCTCTGCTTGCAGGGAAGAGCAGCCTATTGAATTAAATTATTATTATTGTTGTTGTTGTTGTTATTATTATCATTATCATTATTATTTATCATTATTATTATTTTTTCTTGGAAAACATGGTTCAGATTAGTCCCTGCTGGCTCCCCGATAGTAGGTGCCAGCAATGGAGTCATGACACAAACTTTCTCCTGAAAAACTCAAAACGCTCAAATCAGATTGAACACTGCAAACAAAAACACAGGACGCGTGTGTGTCAAGCTATCGCCCTTGCTACATGGTGTGGGTGGTGCCAGCTGGCGGTCTGTCACATGACCCCAGGACCTCGGAAACCCAGCAGCAGGACAACCAGCCCCCCTCCTCTCCCCCCAGTCATTTTTGCTGGCGGGGGAGGGAATGCTGACGTCTCTCTGCACGCCATGGAGAAAAATCACCCCCTCCATCGCTTTTCAAGGAGACGCTTGTCAAACACGTGACAATTCAGGGCTCTTTTTGTAGCAGGAACTCCTTTGCACATTAGGCCACACCCCCCCTAATGTAGCCAATCCTCCAAGAGCTTACAGAGCTCTTCTTACAGGAGCTACTGTAAGCTCTTGGAGGATTGGCTACATTAGGGGTGTGTCACTTAATATGCAAATGAGTACCTGCTACAAAAAGAGCCCTGCGCGGCGGGGCGTGATCACCAACCCGACACATTACACATATCAAATAACAGGGCCCTATGTTGCGCAACACTTCATAGAGCTGATGGCTCTGGGTTGGGAAATACCTGGAGATTCTGGGGGTGGACCCTGGGGAAGGCGGGGTTTGAGGAGAGGAGGGGAATCAGCAGGTATTAAGGCCATAGGATGCACCCCCTCCAAAGTGGTCATTTTCTCCAGGGGAAGGGAACTCTGTCGCCTGGAGATCAGATGTAGGTCTGGGAGATACTCAGCCACCACCTGTAGGTTGGCATCCCTATTCACAAGCCACATTCTATCGCAAGCCACATACGTAAAGGCTTGGATCCCACAGTGAAGCTCCACTGAAAAGGGATTTACATAACTGGAATTGGACTTCCTTACCTTCTGGCTGAAGCACAAAATGATCCCTGAAATGCTGCTCTGGGGGGGGGAGGCATAAGAGGGGATTCTGAGGCCTGCCATTGGCGGGGGCAGGGGGGGGTCGGCAAAAAGCTCCCCTTCTATCCATAGAAATTTTCCATGGGATCCAACCCACTAAGTATATAGTTGTATATCTGTAAAGGTAAAGGTAAAGGTTCCCTTGCTCGAAAGCCAGTCGAGTCCGACTCTAGGGTTGCGGTGCTCATCTCCGTTTCAAAGCCGAAGAGCCAGCGCTGTCCGAAGACATTTCCGTGGTCATGTGGCCGGCATGACTAAACACCAAGGCGGACGGAACGCTGTTACCTTCCCACCGAAGTGGTACCTATTTATCTACTTGCAATTTCTTGCTTTCGAACTGCTAGGTTGGCAGGAGCTGGAACTAGAGACGGGAGCTCACTCCGTCTTGCGGCACCCGGGTCTCGACTGCTGAACTACTGACCTTCCACAGCCTGCAGTTCAGCGTCTTAACCACTTGAGCCACCGCAGCTCAAGTATATCTGTAGTACTGCACAAATTCTAACTCTAGCCTCTGTTCTCTGGGAGTGAGAGGAGAGGGTAGCACTCGCCCCTGCCTTCTGGCTTGATGGTCAAACAGCTCGGCCATGATGCTCCCAAGCAATGCTAACCCATGGGGTCAGCACAGCAGCAGTGCCACGGGGGGGGGGGCCCAGGGCCCCTGGGGGGGGGGGGCACACACGGGCTTGGCGCCTCGTCCTCGGCCAGGAGAAGGGGGCTGCTCCCACCTTCTCCTTGGCATACTTACACACTTGAGCCTTGACGTATTCCACGTACTCTGCCGGGCTCAGGGCCGGATGACAGCGGATGGTCTGGGGGGTGGCGGTTGACGGCGGTCGCAGGAAGGGGTGGTTGCAGACGCGGGTGGTGTGGATGGTCAGCACGTAGGAGCAGGACTGGGGCTCGTCCACACGGGCAATGTAGTCGCTCGAGCCTTCCTCGCACAGGAACTGTCACCAAGGGATTCAGGAAACAGAAGAATGTGAAGTCGCCTTATACAGGCCCTGACCTGGAGGGCCCACGCCAGGCTGATCTCACCAGAGCTCGGAAGCTAAGCAGGGTCAGCCCTGGTGAGCACTTGGATGAGAGACCACTGTTGGGTGTTACAAGTCAAAACACTTCAGTATTTACAGGGTTAATGATGTCTGTTAAGTCACATGGTTGTTTGTAACCAATCTGTTTAGACAATAGGATGCCCGGAAACTTTGGAGCTAATTTGCTACTCTGATTGGAAACCAAGGTGTCAGGTATTTAGCATATTGGCTTCGCTTTCCTCTCTATGTTCTGACTAGAGAAGGAGACGTCATTCCGGCTCTTCCCGTTTTACCCTTTAGCTGTAAGGATGTAGGCATATAAGCTCTTTGTTCTTTTTCTATCCTGTGTACCTTTTCCCATGTTAGGTTTATAGTAAACTTTTATATTTTAATACACACCATGGACTCAGTCTCTTAATACTCAGCTGACTAACTTAAAAAGAATCCCAACCACCACCAAGGAAGCCCAGGGTTGCGACGCTAGAGGCAGGTCATGGTCAACCGCTTCCGAACACCTCTTGCCTTGAAAACCCTACTGGGTTGCCGTAAGTCAGCGGTGACTTGACCCCAGGAAAACAAATTGTGATGTAATCCCCTGACATCATAATCGCAATTCATTTCCTGGAAAACTCCTGGAGATTTCAGGGCACTGAGATGCTCAGGCTGCTGGGTGAATCGTAGGCAGGCCCTGACACACATATGCTCGGGATACGATTTTGGAAGCTAAGCAGGATTGGTCCTGGATAGGAGACCTCCAAGGAATACCAGGGTTGTGATGGAGAGGCAGGCAACGGCAAACCGCCTCTGTTCATCTCCTGCCTTGAAAACACCACAAGGGGTCTGCCATAAGTAGGATGCAATTTTACAGCACTTCCCGCCACCACTTTAGACTTGGGCCATTGGCTCATCTAGCCTGGAGTTGCCCACTCGACGGGCTTTAGCTTGTCATCCTATGCCTGCCTCCCAAACACCTCTTAAACAGATATGCCAGATATCAAAGCTGGCGTACCTTGAGCCTCTCCCCCGGAGTCTGGGGAAGGCAGAGAGATGGTTTGGAGCAGGAGTCCTGCGGAGAGGCACCAGAACAGAATTCAAGTCCCTCTGCTGGAATGGAGTTCCCCTCAGCTGGCCCTGATCCAACCAGCAGCAGGACTGGGTCAAGAGCCCTGCACCTTTTCTGCTTTGCTATGGGAGAAGGTGCTCTCCACACCCTCCCTGAGGAGCTCAGGGAAGCTGCTTTGGGGAGGGGAGGGGAGGGAAGGACAAAGTGCCCACTAACCCAAACGGCGCAGGCGACTATAGAAAGAACTGCAGCTGTCACGGCGGTCAGACAACCCTCCTGGCAGGATGTGCTGTGCAGACCAAAGCTCAGTGTGCAGGCATGCCCTGGGGAGAGCCAGGGTGGTGCAGGTGTCTGAAAGTCAGACTGTGACCCGGGAGACCTAGGTTCAAATCCTCCCTCAGCCACAAAGCTCACTGGGCAACCTGGGGCCAATCACTTCCTCTAAGCCTGATCTACTTGACAAGGCTGTTGCGAATACAAAACGGAGGAGAGCAACATGTAAGTCACCCAGAGCTCCTGAGGGAACAGGTGGAATTTTAAAAATGTGATACGCAGAGGTGGTTCATCATGTGGGAAGGTGGGAGGGCAACCAGCTGGCAACCGCAAGCGGGAAGAGAGACCACTTGGCAGCATGAGCAGACTTATCTCTTAATTCTCTCCCCTGCTTATGCTGCAGAGGGAGACCCCAGATGTTCCTAGACTCCGGCTTCATCTCCTCCTTACCTCAGCCCCTTTCTAAGTCGACTCCTACAGACCCAAGAAACTTCTCTCCCTCCCAGTTCTGCAGGAGCTACATAAACTCTACAGTTCCTCAATACCCTCTGGGCTGCCAACTCTGGCCCGGAAAACTCCTGGAGATTTCAGGGCACTGACTGCAGAGGGAGCTCAGTGGGAATGTGATATCACTCCAGGACTTCAGTTACTCCCAGACTCAGATCCCATCCTCAGCTGCTGTATCCTCTGGGGGAACTGATCTCTGGTGCAGTGTGTTTGGTGCAGGGGTTAAGAGCAGCGGGTTCTAATATGGAGAACCGGGTTTGATTTCCCCACTCCTTCACATGCAGCTGTTGGTGCGACCTTGGGTCAGTCACAAGTTCTCTCAGAGCAGTTCTCTCAGGAGCAGTCCTCAAAAGAGCTCTCTCAGCCCCACCTCCCTCACGGGGTGTCTGTTGTGGGCCGGGGAAGGAGACTGTAAGCTGCTCTGAGACTCCGAGGGAAGGGCGGGGTATAAATCTAATCTCTTCTTCTTCTACTCAGTTGTCATTTCGGGTGGACTGCAAGCCCCGCATTGAGGGAGGGGCCTTGCAGGTCACAGGAGACATCTCTTCTCAGGACACCTAACCCCCCCCCATCCCCCATATGACACAATAGAGGTCCCCTCTCTTACCCTGACTTCAGCCTCCCTGGGCTTTCCGTTCAGGTTACACTTGGATCCGTTGACGTAGGTCTGGCTGTGGTATCGCTTCAGCTTGTGCTGCTTGGAAGCCTGCAAGGGGCAACCGAGTTAGAGAACACCTCAGAAGCAGGCCTGGGAAAGGGTCAAGAAGCCTCAAGGACACGTTTCTAAGTCCCCAGTCTGCACCAGTGTTCCCTCTAAGCTGAGCTAGTGTGAGCTAGCTCACAGTTTTTTAGCCTCCAGCTCACACATTTTTGTCTTCGCTCAGGAAGGAGGGCTCCAGGGCCAACTAATTTATGCAGCAGCCAAATCATTCCCTCACAACTTTAATGCCAGTAGCACACAAAGTAGAATTTTTGCTCACAAGACTCCATAGTTTAGAGGGAACATTGGTCTGCACATGCTGCAGAATGAGGTGGCGGAGGGCTGAGGTGGCAGAATGAACCATACCACTTTGGACTGTGGGGGTGGGGGGGAAGGATGACATTTTTCACAGCTCCTCTTCATTCCTATTTCCCTGACAGTGGGGGAACCAGCACACCATGGCTTAAAACCTCTCTCCCTGACGGGCCAACACCCTTTCTGTTTGCACACAGGTTTGAATACGGGGCACTATTAAGTCTGTGGGCTCCTTCCCTCAGAGTCAGAAGTGGTACGGCCTGTTCGACCACCCCAGCGTTCAGGCCCCAGCCTTATCCTTTCAGCCTCATTTGCCTCTAAATATCTGCAAGTCCCTCTTAAGCAGTGGCCAAAGGCCATTGGCTCAGAACTGAGAGCATGAAACGGCCCTCCGTTTGCACAACCTGAGCAAGGCTGTTGAGGAAGTCTGGTAATGATAGGATTTTTTTTGGGGGGGGGGTGTCATTAGTGTGTGTGTGTTAAGTGCCAGCCAGTTGCTTCCAACTTGAGGAGACCCTATGAATTAATGACCTACACAACATCTGATTAACAGCCCCGCTGAGGTCTTGCAAAATTGAGGGCCCCCATGGTGTCCTTGATTGACTCCATGTTGGGTGTTACAAGTTAAAACACGTTCAGTATTTACTGGGTTAATGATGTTTGTTAAGTCACATGTTTGTTTGTAACCAATCTGTTTAGACAGTTAGAAAGCCCGGGAACGACGGAGCTAGTTTGTTGTTCTGATTGGAAACCAAAGGGCCAAGTATTAGCATTTTATGGCTTCTCTTCCCGTCTTAGTGTTTCTTTGTTCTGACCAAGAAGAAGAAGAAGCCGGCCATTCTGCCATTTCAGTTTAGCTGCAAGGATGCAGACATATAAGCTCTTTGTTGTTTTATATCCCGTGTACCTTTTTCCCATGTTAGGTTGTAGTAAACTTTTATATTTTAAACACACCATGGACTCTGCCTCTTTAATACTCTGCTAACAAACTTTAATTAAGAATCCCAACGCTCCATCCACCTCAGGTTGGGTCTTCCTCTTTTCCTGCTGCCTTCGACTTTTCCTAGCATTATTATCTTTTCCAGTGAGTCTTGTCTTCTCATGATGTGACCAAAGTCCGATAACCTGAGTTCAGTCATTTTAGCCTGTAGGGAGAGTTCAGGCTTCATTTGACCTAGAATCTACAGATTTGTCTTTTTGGTGGTCCACGGTACCCGTAAAACTCTCCTCCAACACCACATTTCAAAGGAATCAACTTTCTGTCGACTTTCTTCACTGCCCAGCTTTCACATCCCTACATCGCAGTGGGGAAGGGTGGTCATATGTCGGAAGTGATTTGACAGAACATAACACACAGTTGGTTACCCACAGCATGAGGAAATGTGTTATACTAGCACCACCCTAGAATTATGCTGGGTGTTGTGCAACAAACACTGCCAGGCTGCCAGACTCCCAGGGACTCGGGTGGGGGTGGAAAGACAGAAGGAACAGCCTCCCCTTGCTATGGAAAAGAACGTGGGTTTGTTTGTTTTTTAAAGAAACCAAAACCAAGATGGTCCCTGGGGTAGACAATCAGCAAATCACACCCCGCAGACCAATTCATCCATTTTCTATTACACGGCCTTTGATGTGGCGGTTTCTGGCCCAAAGAACCAGGAACCAGAAACTAACATACTTCTTAGCTAGCAGTCTAATAGTGCTATACTCTACGAAATCCCCAACCACAATATATTCCCTGCTTTTTGAAGTCCCCACTGATCAGGCCATCGTGCCAAACAGGCTGCTTTGTGTTCTGCGCCCCTGCCTTCTCTCCCGACCCCACTGCTCGGGGTTGCCAACTGCTTGAGAGGGTAAAAAGTCATCAAAAACAGCCAACCCAATTCTGTTTTATATACATTTGCACTGACACACTATTATCTAACGCCAAAAGTGATCTATCATTATCTGAATCTCTAGATGTTCAAGCTACACTGTATCTATTCATATGGAACTTGCTTAATTGTCATGGGAAAACCTTTTATTTTTTATGTATTGTTGCAAATTGACAGTTCAATAAAACTTTTTTTTTGGGGGGGAACCCCACCCAACCTGGACAGGCCAAATGGCTTTGAATGCTTTTTTCATTCATGGAAATTGGCAAGTTTATTATCTGTAAGGCTGGCATGACCATGAAGGGCTATTGGCATAAAATTTTTAAAACTTTTTTTTGGTTAAGTGGAAGGCATGCAGTAACAGAAAACTGCTGGATTTGATTTAATGTTCCCATCTTGACTTATGCTTGACATAGACAACGCCAACAATCCTTGAGCACCACGATAACAAGTAATTAAGAGCAAACACCTAGTAACCATTTTAGTAACTTCTAAAGAAGTCCCCCATTTCACTGCAGGGCCTTGAAAGATCCCCTGGAGTTCATCCAAGAGCGTGAGCTCAGCCTACAAACTCTAAAATAAGGGGGGAGTGGGGGAGAAGAGAGGAAACCACTGCCCCCTAGAGGATTTCAAGCTAGGCCTGTACATGGACGGTTTTATGGCAGGGCCGCCGCAAGGCCATGTCATGTCAAAGCTGGGCAATTCCACTGAATTCTGGCCATATCAACGTTCTACCATACTGATTCCAGGTAGGTTTAGTCTTTGCTACCAAAATATTCCAAATCCAAGAGAGTAAGGGCTGAGGGGAAGAAAGGAAAAGGAGGAGAGGAAGACACCCCCTCAGTTCTTGAACTCCCTCAGGTTTCCATTCCAAGTTCTGACCACTTCTGCCCACCCCCGCCTCATACTTTTATAAGAAAACCCCAGCACGCCCATGTTGGCCTTTCCCCCACTGCGTTAAGAACGCCAGACCCAGAGGAACACCAACCTTTGCTGTTTCATTGTCCCAGTCAAAGGCAGACTGGTAATACCCCAGGTACAGGACGTCACCTTTGATTTCAGACTCTGGGAGGGGAAAAAAGATATAAGAGGAAATGACCATTAGGTAAGGAACTTGGAAACCGGGATCTCAAGGAGAATTGGGGGAGAGGCTCTACCGTGGCCCGAGGGTGGAAAGAAGTGGGCATGAACTGCACCCCACCTCCTGGTCGACACGGAGGCTACTGGCCCGACCTATACCTGCAGGCTACATATGAACACTTTTGGAGTGAGTGCTGTTTCAAAACACACATACTCATGTGAGATGGTTAGTCTCGCTATCTCCCCATACAGGCAAGTGCATGCACGTTCCAGAAGCAAGACACTTTGTGATTTCTCCTCTCTCTAGAAGAGGGATTCCCAACATGGTGCCCACCAACAACTTCCCTGGTGCTCTCCAAGAGCTTTCAGAAAGTGGGCAGATCCAGGTGGGGCTTTTGCCTAGGCAGGGCCTCTGATTGGCTGTGCAGATTTTAAATGCATCCAGTTAAACAGAGCTTCTGCCTGACATGTTGAAGAGTTACTCTTCGATTTCTACATAACCCTGCTCCTGGACATTTGTGGCTGGCTCTGCCTCCTGCAGCAGCTATATTTTGCATCTGCAACCACCCACCCTGTGTCAAAATCCCAAAGGTCCCCGCAGGCCCAAAGAGGTTGGGGACCCCTGTGCGAGAGAGCATCGCAAGACTCTAGGAGGACTTCTCACGGCATTAAAACCCTGAACCTGGAAAAAGCAGCGGGAAAATAGAGCAGTTCCACTTCCCTGCACGCACATCATGTGACCACATATTTGGGACTGGCTCAGCTAACAACGGGAAGGGGCGGGGGGAAACCGTTATCAAGTGAAAGTTTCAGTTCTGCATGCTGATGTCTCAAGCAGAATGGTCGATTAGGCTGAGTCACATTTCCCTTTAAGAGTCCAGAAACACGTTCAGCCGCCATGCGTCCAGTCGGCACTGCTAGTTACCCCTTCCGGTGTGCAATCTCAAGTACACAGTCTGTTTAGGTAGCCGGATAAGAGAGCTATTGATGTGGCAGAGAGACCTTGTTCCAACCTCAGCTTGAAAAGGGGGGGGGGGGCCCTTCCTGTGTGCAATCTCGAGTGCACAGACTGTTTAGGTAGCCAGATAAGAGAGCTATTGATGTGGCAGAGCTGAGAGACCTCGTCCCAACCTCAGCTTGCAATAGGGGGGGGGATACAGATGACCTACCCTGACATGCTACTGGAAGAGCTGCCAAAACGATGCACATCAAGCACCTTGGGAGTGGTAACAGAGGCTTGGGAATTTATTACTACTCCACTGTAAGAGGGGGGCAATTGCAGAGGAAAAGCAGTAAGTGGGAGGAGAGTCAAAGGCTTTTGTCTGCAATCCCTCCCCCTTTAGGACCAAACTAGACAATACGTGTGCAGTGTTCCCTCTAAGCTCAGTCAGTGCGAGCTAGCTCACGTTTTTTAGCCTCCGGCTCACACCTTTTTGTCTTCGCTCAGGAAGGAGGGCTCCAGAGCCAACTAATTTATGCAGTAGCCAAATCGCTCGCTCACAACTTTAATGCCAGTAGCTCACAAAGTAGAATTTTTGCTCACAAGACTCCGCAGCTTAGAGGGAGCATTGTAACATGTGCCGTGAGTCAGGTCAGGGCTCCTGACCTGCTGGCGGATGTTAAGTCAGGGGATCCACCTTCTCAAGCGTGCCGGGACCCAATTCAGCTTGGCACATGTGAAGGTGGGGCTTCAGCTTTCCTGAGCTGAAATGGCCACAGACGGGGCCTATTTGCTCTGTTGTGGGGATCCACATCCACTGAGTGCAGCGTGTGGAGCCTCAGAGTGGGGCAAAAGAGGTCCCCCACCTGCAACCCTTCCAGCTCCAACGAACAGTGCAGGAGGGAAAGCTGCAGCCTCCCATCCCCACTGTGCCGGGCTCCTGAGTCAGATCTGGCCCCGGTGCTTTGGGGACCATTAGTCCCCCCGATGCTCTTAGAAACATTAGTCCCCCCGATGCAATGCATCAGGGAACACTAAACCAGCTTGTAGCAGATATATCTAGCATGGCCCTTACCTTTCCTCACTGCACATCTCTAACATGTTGGGGGGGGGGCAGTGTGAAAAGAATCAGCAAAAGCGGTGTGTGGCCAGGGGGAAAACCAGCAGCTGGAGGAAGGGCTGAGCGCTCCCTTCTGCTTGCTGCTTCTCCATTGTCAGTTACGGCACTTTCAACCATCGCAGCGGCAAAGGCCACCTTTGGTATCGGTTGCGCCTATAAAAGCATTTACTGGATTGTTGCCAAGCAGAGAGCAGCAGGCTTACCGAACAGATGCATTGGGGGGGGGGGGGTTCTGCAGGGACAAAAAAGAGAGTGGGGCCAGGACATTAGAAGCCCTCCCACTGTTGACCCCCCCCCCAAGCACCAAGATGACAGAGCATCACTTGCCCCAGAGTTGGCTGATATGTAAAAATATATACAATCATACATATACAAAATATGAAATAAAGACCAGAAAACAATTGTTCCAAAGTTTAACCACTGGGCAAAGAAATACAAAAATACAAATGAAGCCTCCAGTGCAATCACATGTCCAATAGTACTTCTCTCTGGTCAACCATATATTCTCCTGAGATTGTACAGCCAAATGTTCCTAATAAAATGTTCCTTAGGTTAAAAGCAGTCAGTCTGCATCCATTCATTCTTGTCCTGTTTCAAACCCTCTTAAAGGCTTATTTCAGGTGGAGGGCCCGTCCTCCCTCTCCACCCCCAAAGCCAGGCACTTGTACTGTTTGGTTGTCTTAATGCCCCACAGTTTCCATTGCTGTTGGATAATACTGATGCTGTTGTTTTATACTGTGTGGTTCTTATGAGAGTTGGGGGGGGCGTTTTGTGAGCCGTCACGGGTCATATTTATTTGGTGAAAAGGTGAACGAGTGGTGGACAGTGGTGTCATTGGCAGTGGAAGGAACAGCAACCAGAAGAGTTCAAGCCACCTTGAACCACAGGGGAAAAGCGGGGTATAAATGTTCTAATTAAAAACAAAGTAAATAGACAAATGATGAGACAACAGTACCTTCCATATGGTATTGCTGGATGTGCTTCCCATAGCAGAACTTGTATGTCCACCAGTCCTTAGTCTGAAATAAAAAAGGGAGAATGTTGAAACCTAAGATATTTGACCCAAGGTAAATCCTACTGAGTTACCTCTGGCAGTGGACATTTGCACAAGGGAGACAGAGAAGGACCACGCCAATTCGTCTGTAACCAGACAAACCGCTTTTCCTACGCAAATAAATAAACCAAGTGGAACACCCGGTTCGGCTGAACTTTGCCGAAGCCAAAATTAATGGAGATTTTTGCATTGTTATTCCGAGATCTGGACAGGAGGAAAGAGCAAAAAGAGTGCAGCAGGGCGACACACTACAACTGGAATATGAAAACTCAAGCTGATTAATTGGTGGGGAATAAATGTCAAATCTCAGTGAGGCTACAAATCACAGTCAGCTACTTTTTCAGGCTGTTTCTCTATAAACATGATTGTAGCATTTCAGGCCATTTGATGTCATAAAGGATGCTGAGTCATTTGCATGCGTAACAGAGGCTCCTTCTGACATCAGAACACATCAGCCAGCAGTATCAAGAGGCAGTGGTTCAGCAGAGGTGATCAAAGGGCCAGCAGAAAGGTAGTTTGACTAGACTAATGCCCTGTTGTATAAATGAGAAAGATGGAAGGGGAGAGACAGAGAGAGAAAGAGAGATGACAGAGAAAGTGTTCAGGTGACAGACCCCAAACTTCCTTTGATAGCCCCAAATGGAGACCTGCAGTGAGGCTTTGGTAACACTTAATTTAATTGGTTAACAGACAAATGATCGATCCACTGAAGAAGACCTTTTAAGAGGCAAACTGCCTTACTTTATGGTCAGGGTTCAGCCTACCTGAGGGACCGCCTTACCTCACATGTTCCCCCAAGAGCACTTCGGTCGGGGGCCCAAAATCTATTGGCTATACCGGGCCCCAAGGATGTTAAACTGGCTGGGACCAGGGCTAGGGCTTTTTCGGTGGCGGCTGCGGCTCCTACCTGGTGGAATGAGCTCCCGGGGGAGATCCGGGCCCTGCGGGACCTTGAGCAGTTCCGCAGGGCCTGCAAGACGGAGCTCTTCCGCCAGGCTTTTGAGTAGGAGCCGCCGCCCTACTATACCACCACCACCGTCAAGACATCTGAATGGAGGCATTAATGGGGCCCGAGGAAGAACTTAAAATTACATCGGAAAGGCCATCGCCACTGGATATGTACGCTGAGAATACCAGCTCGAGTCGTGGGGATACCATCTTGGATCTAGGACACTAGTAACTGGATAGAGCACTTTAGTCTTGATGTTTTGATGTTTTTATTATGTTTTTATATGTTTTTATTTATAGCTAGACTAATGATCTGGTGTCTGTTAGCCACCCTGAGCCCACTGGGGAGGGCGGGATATAAGTGTGAAAATAAATAAATAAATAACTTTAAGATAGAATAGAAGCACAGGGGACTGCAAGGTAAAGGTGAGTGTAGCAGGCTTGGAGACTCCTGTTTCCTACCCCAGCCACAGACTCACTGAGCAGTCCCTGGCAAGTCACACTCTAAGCTTCAGGTCCCCTGCCAATAACAGAGCAGTGTTAGCCACTTCCCTCCAAGGAGTTTCCCAAAGATTAATACCGTAAGAGCATTGTGCCTAGTCTAAGTGCTAAATAAAGACTCAGGAATATGCTGAGCGTGCTCTGCTGACCTCGACCTCATTATAGTTCTGGAAGGAAAACTCGATGCCAAGGAAAGGCTGAGCAGCTCTATCCAGACAGACCCCGGGGGTGTGCGTGGCACCCACTTCAACTGGCTGTTCCTTGGGCCTCCCGACACTTGTCCCTAAGTCACCTTGATAAGGCAAGGAGCTGCTTCCATGGGTTTCAGCAGCTCCGAGACCCCCAGTCCAGTGTAGCTCTGCGGAACCTCGTCTTTTTCCTGATGGATCTTCACTGCGGCAGCTGGTAGCCGGCACTCGTATTTCTGCTTGTATTTGGAGGAGATGGTCACCACATCAGAAGCTTTACTCTGGGAAGGTACAAGAATGGGAGCCGGAAGGTGAGAAACGGGGGGCAGTGAGATTTTTATGAGCTACACAGCAAGACGCAAGGGATGGGGAGGCAGGGTTTTGCAGGAAAGTCGTTGACAGCCATGCCGGTTCAAAAGTAAGAGAGCCAAGAACACAATCTGTGGAATACCTTTATGGGGACTGACACAATGAGAAATAACGGTATGCAAGCTTTCGAGTTCCGTAGAACTCTCCACCAGGCCAGATGTTAGGGGAAAAGCAGGGTTTCTTACGTTCCTAGTTTTATTTATTTATTTTCCCAATTTATACCCCGTCCTCCCCGCTGAAGCAGGCTCAGGGTGGCTTGCGTAAAAGATTAACACACATAAACAACAATTACAGACAATCATAAAACCTTCTAAAACAGTCCTGCATCATAAAGCGCTAGTGCTATAGGACCTCCTCACGCCAGCATCTGGTGGGTTTGCATACAGCTTAATGTTTGCTGCTTTCTTCCCTCTTTTTCAGATTCTTTAACATCTGGGCCTTGAAGAGTTCTGGGGAAACTCGAAAGCTCGCACGTTATTATGTCTCAGTCCTCATTAAGGTATTACAGGGATTGTGTTCTCGGCGTTTGGGTTTTGCAGGAAAGTCAACGGCGCTTTGAAGGGAGTTTGTCGACCCACCGTGTGATCCTGCTGCTCCCATGAATTTTCAGGCTATGCAAGCGACGGTACAGAAATCACTGCAAGCTAAGAACCCTGCCCATTTACCCCCTCTCTGTAAGAGCCTGGGCAGTTACTTCCTCGACCTGAAAAGCCCCCTTGTGACTGAGATTCTCAAACACCCCCCCCCAAATGTCTTCCAGTAACCCTTTAATTGGGGGCGGGATCAGAGCACAAATGGTCTGTACTCAGCACCAACTAAAGCTCAAGGACTACTCTAATTGCTTCTTTCCCTCCGGTTCACAATTTTTAAAATACGCAAAGGGTTTCACGAGCTCTCTTACATATGGACACTGCAAATCAGATTATACTGACAGAATAACACAGGCAAAAGGATCTTATTCCCGTTCTCAATTAACAACACTCCACATAAGAACATAAGAGATGCTAATGTTGGATCAGGCCAAAGGCCCATCCAGTCCAACACTCTTTATCACACAGTGGCCAAAAATACCAGGTGCCATCAGGAGGTCCACCAGTGGGGCCAGGACATTAGAAGCCATCCCACTGTTGACCCACCCCACCCCCAAGCACCAAGATGACAGAGCATCACTTGCCCCAGAGCCCCTATCTATACCTTGTGGCTAATAGCCACTGATGGACCTCTGCTCCATAGGCTTATCTAATTCCCTTTTGAAGCCGTCCATGCTTGTAGCCGCCACCACTTCCTGTGGCAGTGAATTTCAAGTGTTAATCACTCTTTGGGTGAAGAAGTACTTCCTTTTATCCGTTCTAACCCCACTGCTCAGCAATTCGTTCTAACCCGACCGCTCACATAATTAGGCCAATGCAGCCGTAGCAAGGCTTTGGTACTGCAGTAGAGGACAATTCCCATTAAAACAGCTACATATGTTCTGGTAATTTAAAGAGCATGCAACCAATCAACCGAAGATCCATTAAGGGGCCAACAGCCCAACTTGTCAGAATATGATCTGAAACACGTATTACACATAGCCAAGGGGTCATTCACTGCCACAGCAAAAGAGCAAGAGTTACAGTGCAAATATGTGAAGACAGCAACTAATAAAGATTGCCCCCAAGGCCAGTTCCAATTGCACTGGAACAACTTCTACCCAAACCCCAGAATACCCACAAACGTAGATCTGGGTAGCCACTGTAGAGAACCAGGTTTATCAAAAGGTCTTTTTTATAAAAACGAACAACACTGCAAAAACACACTTTCATTCATAAGCCAGCATAGTGTAATTAATTACCATATTGCATTGTGTGTCGAACAGCCAGGAGATGCTAAGATTGTCTGGCAGCCAGACGTTCTAGTGCTTTAGTGTTATGCACCACTAGGTGGTGAGCTAGACTTTTGTTTTTAAGGCAAGAGACGTTACAGGGGTGGTTTGCCACTGCCTGCCTTTGCGTCACAACCCTGGTATTCCTTGGAGGTTGCCTTTCCAAAAACTAGCCAAGGCCGGCCCTGCTTAGCTTCTGAGATCTGATGGGATCAGGCTAACCTGGGCTATCCAGCATAGTGTAGCAATTATAGTTGGACTAGGACTCAAACCCCTACTCTGCCATGGGAGCTCACTGGGTGACCTTGGACCTCTTACTTTCTCTAAGCCTAACCCACCTCACTGGTTTGCTATTGCGAGGATAAAGTGGAGGAGGAGAGAATGAAGTTGTAAGCCACTTTTGAGTCTCCACTGCTGAGAAAAGCAGGGTATAAATATAAATAAATACAACCACCGCCTTTTGAAAGCTGATCAATGAAGCGACAGCTCCGTTTTTGAAGTCCCATGTGTCCCAAGGACCCTGCTATAATACAGACTGGCTACTTTTGCTTGGGAGCACTGCAAAGCCAGCTGGCAGATCTGCAACCAGCGGGCACCTAGCTCTGGGAGAATCTGCATGCAGAAGAAGAGCGAGAAATGCGGCTGCTGTTGCGCCATTCACAACACCGTGAATTCACTTTGCCTTGCAAATGAGGGCAACACAGTTTTCCTTGCCGGCCACCTACACAGGGCAGCCCTCGGGCCTTAGAAAAAACAAAGACAACAGAAGCCACGTCATCAGAGCTACCTGATTAGCTGGAAAGGGTCCCTAGTCAGCAGAGGAAGCCAGGGAGGTGGCTACTTCCAGGCCAGAGTTCAGTGGCAGGGCAGGCAAAATGACTTACTGATCCTGGAGACCGCCACTTGCACCAGCTTGAACGTATTTAGCACATTTTTATCCCACCCACCCTTCCTCCAAGGAGCTCAGGGCAATGCCTGCCATTCTTCCCACACCATTTTATCCTTAAAACAACTCTGGAAGGTAAGAAGAAGAAGAGATTGGATTGATACCCTGCCCTTCACTCGGAGTCTCAGAGCAGCTTTCAATCACCTTCCTCTCCCCACAACAGAAACCACCCAGTGAGGTAGGTGGGGCTGAGAGAGCTCTGAGAGAACTGCTCTTGAGAGAACAGCTCTGAGAGAACTGTGACTGACCCAAGGTCACCCAGCTGGCTGCATGTGAAGGACTGGGGAATCAAACCCAGTTCTCCCAGATTAGAGTCTGCCGCTCTTAACCACTGGCTGAAGGTGTCTGGAAGAAGATCCTCAAGCAAACTCCATGGAAGAGTGGGGCGCCTGAACCTGTATCGTGGACATAGCCAGAAATATAGGGGAGTAGTTGCTGGACTTGACCAAAAAGATCACAGAAAATGTCTCTGCACTCAGAACAGAGCTAGCCCAGCCTCTCCATGAGGCATGCTAGGAAGGGAGTTCAGAGACGGAGAACAGAAGAGCCTTGGGGAAGAACAAGAAAACAAAGGAGCAAGGTCACTTCAAAGTTTCAAAAGTTTATTACGGTCACAAGACCAGCCACAGCAAGGTAGCTATATGGCCTTGGCCAGATTAGAAGGGGCTTAACTCATATAAACAGATATTAGATACGCCGAGGTCCAAGTGCAGAAGTGTCTGAGTAGAGCAAGCATGTCCAACTTCACAAAAGCGGAGATTGTTCAAAGATGGGTGCACTGGTTGACAGCCAAAAGACATTCCTATGTACGAGAAAGTTGTAATCGCTAACCACAAACAGGCTTTGTTGGCAAGAACAAACTAACATCTTTTATATATTTTAAGAAGATACTTCAAGAATAGATAATCTTGTGGGGTGTTTGAAGTTGTAAGATAAAGTTAGCCAAGAATGTGCACCCTTATCAAGGGGGGAGGTTAAGCTATTGCTAGGAGACGATGTTCAAATCCTATAAACGGGGGAAGTTCAATCGATCACAAGCTTCTTCTCAGAAGGGGCTCCTTGCCTGTGACCTACATGATCCTCCTCTCTTCCTTTTTATACCTCACAACAACCCTGTGAGGTAGGTTAGGCTGGAGGAGGAAGAAGAGATTGGATTTATACCCCACCCTTCACTACCTGAAGGAGTCTCAGAGCAGCTTACAATCTCCTTTCCCTTCCCCTCCCCACAAAAGACACCCTGTGAGGTAGGTGGGCCTGAGAGAGCTCTTTCCAGAACTGCCCCTGAGAGAACAGCTCTGAAAGAACTTATAACTGACCCAAATGAAACAACTTGCAACTGACTGGCCCAGGGTCACCCAGCAAGCTTCTGCAGCATGAGTGGAGATTCGAATTTGGATCTTCCAGGTACTAGTCCAACACAGTCAACCACTACACCACACCAGCTCTCTTAGTCAGTGTTAAGAATGGAATAGCTATGCTCTAATAAAAAGCTTACAATGGAAACAGGGGTTTCTCTAATAATATTACTTCAGTACTATTTCCAGAACAAATCTAAAGTCTTACTGAGGTGTACGTCTGGGCTATGAATTAATTGATCAAATACAGGGATTAATTGATCAGATATAGGAATTAATTGATCAGATATAGGAATTAATTGATCAGATATAGGAATTAATTGATCAGATATAGGAATTAATTGATCAGATATAGGAAAGCTAATTAGATGTCTAGTGCTTAATCACTTCCACATCTGAATCAGGCCTGACTTGACTCATCCAGACTCCGAGGTCTCTCCGATCTTAGTCCTGAGATTTTCTAGCCAGTCTCTAGCCAGTCTACCACACTGGCTGGGCCATGCCATTTCCAGACACCACAATCCCCAGGCCACGGCATAGACAGTATCCAACATGAAAGTAGCCCTACTGGTGTCCTTTCTACTCTAAGCCAGGCTCTTTTCAAACGCCTCTACTGGAATTTAAAACAAACGCACTGTTCCTGCCACCTGGAACTCTCTTGCAGGAGACACCTGAGAACAGAAAGTATCCCATCATCACAAGGGAAGCCAAGCCTCCCGTCCTCCCTGGTGCCAGATCAAAGCCGGAAGCCAAGAGGAAAAGAAGCCAAAAAGGAGGAATGTGGCTTTACTATGTTTAAGTCTGCTTTTTGCAAACCACAAAGGGGACTAAAGGCAATGCCATTCAAGCAACCTCTAGTCAATCATGCGCAGCACATATGCTGCAAGCCTCAGGCACGATGATGCAACCTGGGCCACGAATGCAAACATACACCAGTGTATCCTGCCAAGGAGCCAAGGTGTCTCTGTTCCCACAAGTGCGGAGCCTTGAGAGGGGCCTGAAAACAGGCACTGGGGCTGGGAACTCCATCACTAGTCTACGATAACTGTTGTGTAGCCCACGAAGGCTCCTTCAGCCAGTGCAGGGCTTCTTCCTGACCCTGTTTTGCAGGAGAGAGTAAAGTCAGCTAGCCCCTAAGCATATGTCACAAACAGGTCTCAGTATTGAGAGCTGGAGAAATCAGACAACCACAGTGTGGTGCAGTGGTTACAATGAAGACATATGAAGCTGCCTTATATTGAATCAGAGTATTGGTCAACGTCAGTATTGTCTACTCAGACTGGCAGCTGTTCTCCAGGGTCTAATGGCAGGGGTCTTCCACATCACCTCTGACCTGATCCTTTTAACTGGCGATTCTGGGGACTGAACCTGGGCCCTTCTGCACACAAAGCAGAGGCTTTTTCATTGAGCCACAGACCTCCCCACAATGTCAGACTAGGATCTGGTGGACCCAAGTTCAAATCACGACTCTGCCATGGAAACTCAACTGGTGACCTAGGCCAGTCACTAAGCTATCGCACAGGGTGGCTGTTGTGAGGGTAAAACAGAAGGCAAAAGAACAACGTTCTATGCTGCTTTGGGTCGCCGTTGGGGAGAATATACAGTCCAGGCCAACTTAAGGATTGCTCACACTGCATTGCTAAGGATTCCTCCAGCGCTGCACGTATCTCCTGTACTTATCTTACATATGCTTGAGCTTTGCAACGACGCCCATTGCATTCCCTGGCCTTTCAGTCCCATCCATAACAGCCCTGCAGGATCAAACCAGTGGTCCATCTAGCCCAGCAACCTGTTTCACAAAGCCCAACCAGCTGCCTCAGAATGTCAACAAAACAGGGCATAAGTCTAAGCTGGATATTGCCTCCTTGTACTGATATTTGGAGGCTTAGTTCCTCTTGACGTGGAGTTTCCCTTTAATTATCTTGGCTAGTAACTACTGATGGATGTATCAGCCATGAATATGTGCTTCAAGGAGCATGCACATATGCCGCAAAATGAGATATTTTGTGCATCTGATGAAGTAAGTTCTAGTTTATGATTGGCACAGCACCCTCAGCGCATACGGCAACTTTCAGAGCTGCAGAGGCTGAATATTCCCCCTGCCCCTCGGGAGTTTACAGTCAAAAGAGACAGAGAAAGCCATGGGAAGTAAAAGGCAGAGGCAGGGACAGGGCAGGATAAATGTAGGCAGGATGCACTTCAAAAACTGGGTATGATGCTTTATGGGATAAGCCAGAGGCCACAGAGAACTGTGGCAGAAGAAATTGATGGGAGAGACAGATATGGCACTATATATCTGTTCAGAAGGAGTTTCACAGCCACAGCCTGTGAAAGTTGAGGCCACGAGACACCTGTTCCCTTAAACACAAAACTGTTTGATGTTGCAATGTAAGCACAGCCATCCCTCCGACATCTGACACCTTCCCATCTGCAATTCCAAACAACTGGACATTAGCTCTACTCACATCGCAGTGAACCCACATATAAGTTTATACCTATAAAAAAGAGCCAGCCCACATTCACTTTAATTTAAAACATATCAAAACAAGGAACAGGAGCTGGGCTTTAAAATAACACATCCAGCTGTATGTACACTGAAAGGAACATAATTACCCACTGCACATATAAAGAAAAAAGCCCAAGGCTTTACACTCTAATATGTGTATGGGGCTATTCAACCGTATACAAACACAGAATACAGAACCACCTAACTCACACATCCACGTGAAGCTGCCTTCCAGTGAGTCAGGCTATGGGCATACCAAAGTCAGTACTGTGTACTCAGATGCACAGCAGTTCTTCAGAGTCTCTGGCGGAAGTCTTTCACATCATCTCATACTTGACCCTAAGGGTCAAACCAGGGCACACAAAGCAAAGGATATAACTCTGAGTAATATTATTATTATTTACTTGTACCCCTCCTTTCTCCCCAATAGGACCCAAGCGGCTTACATTGTTCTCCATGCCTCCATTTTATCCTCACCACAAACCAATGAGGTAGGTTAGGCTGAAAGAGCATGACTGGCCCCCAAGTCACCCAGTGAGCCTCCATGGCAGAAGCAGGGATTCAAACCCAGGTCTCCCAGATACTAGTTTGCCACACTTACCCACTACCCCACATTGGCTCTCTATTCTGGCTAGCGGTAGCATCTCTTCTGGGTCTGCTACCAGCAATGGAGATTGAACAAGGGACATTGTGCAAGTAAACTAGGGCTTCCACTACTGAGCCGCTGATCTGGCATTTCATTGCACACACCTTCCCCACTGGGAATTTGTCCTCCTGCACGCACTTGGAATGTGCACAGAGCAGCACCTGTGGCTGTTTATAGACTGTAGCCTAGGAGAGCCGAGGCCCTGCTAACTATGCGAGGAGCAAAGACACGGAAACTGTATCATAACTAGGCTCAAATTTGAATTCTGTTTATATGGTGCATCTTGTTTTTATATATAAGAATGTTTTACCATAATTTTCACGTCTACGGATGGTCTCATGACTGTAATACATATACACCGACATACACCTTTTTGTTGTTTCTGCTGCAACAGGCTTCAGACCAGGGCACTCCGCCCCCCAACCAACTTCCCTCGGCCCCGACCAGCCGTACCTGCCCAGCCACGACAGGCTCCGCACCGATCTCGATCCCATATTTCAGCTCGTTGAGCTCGTGCAGGTTCAAGGTCCCCAGAGCCTCAGCTGGGATTAGCAGCGCCGCCGCAACCAAGAGCACCCAAGGGCCGCAAGACGCTAAAAGCTGCCGCGCCGCCGCCATTTTGCTTCCCCCGCTTCCTCCGATTCGGCTTTTGCCCTTCCTTCGAGCTTACTTCCGCCCTTCCTTCGGGTTCCAGCGCCTCCGAGAGCCCGCCTACTACATCAATCATGTAGCGAAAGCTTCTTCGATTGGGCAATACGGAGGAAGTACCTGACTAGGGGCGTGAGACTGCCTTTAAAAAAACCTGGTGGAAAGGGATTGGGTGGATTCTAGCAGCCAATGAGAAGGGCGAGCGCTTGGCGAGGGCTACCGTAAAGGGGGGGGGGAGAAGGAGGAGGAAAACTGATGAGAAGCGATTGGTCCGTTTTAGGTCTTGACAAGCATCCAATCAGGAGAGCGAGCGCCTGTAGAACAATAGATGATGGATGAACAATCTCGCAAGCATCGTTTCCAGGCTCCTGTGGTGATGGCCTCAAGGCTACTTTTTTAATAGCTCAGATTCCCCCGCCCTTGCCATGGAAGCTCACGGGTGAACATGCCCTTTCTCAAACTAGCCAACTTCGCAGGGTTGTTGTGAGGATTAAGTAGAAGAGCAGAGTACCATGAGGTGAGTTCCTTGGAAAAACAGTAGAATTAACAACAACATTTAATTCCGTTTATCTGTTCTTTCTTAGTTTATGAGCACCCTGTAGGCCTTCGTTATGTATGCATTGAAAGCACGTAACAATTCTAATGGTTAACACTTGGATTCCGTTATAGAAGTGATTAATCCACTTTTTAAAAAGCCCTATGATACCTTTCTTTTAAGAGCAACTAAAATATCACAGCACACAAGCTTTTTAGCTATCCAGAACTGTTCATCAGGCTGGGTGTTTAAAAAAACAAAACACACACATACAATCCTGGGGACATCTCTCAGATCTCTTAAAATCTCTATCTCAAAACCCTCTACCCACTTTTTAAAAAAAATATCCAGCCTGACAAAGAGTTCCAGAGAATTTTGAAGTTTGTACATTGAACTGTGTTATTTTGTTTGGGCTTGATAAAAGGTATTATATTACTTTTGGATTTTGCTATGGACCAACACAGCTACTTTTAAAAAAATAGATAGATATTCCTAGGGAAAAAAATCATAAACTTGGAAAGGATCTAATGGGCCAACTGTCCACTCAACTGTCCCCCAGATATTTGATTCATCTGGAATCACTTGCCCCTCACAATGCAGTGTTTATGAACTGTCAAATTGCAGGTCTGAAAGGAATCTCAGGGGTGATGATGGGGAACTCGGACACCAACCTTAATCTCCCCTTCTGGAATACTACAAACGCTTAGCCCTGAGCAGGCTAATTTCTCTTCCCTACCTTGTTTTCCTTTTCTACCCACTCCTTTAACGGATGTTAAACTGCACTCAATATTTTTAGTGTCCTGTGGAGTAATTAGGATGCTCTGTCCCCATCAGATCCAGTGTGCCTCCCCCAACTTTATCATTAATTACCAAGTAAAATTCTTCTGTGTACCTGAGAAGTCCCCCCAGCATGTAGAATTTGCAAGTGGATGGCCCAGTTTCATTTTCTCAATGATCAACATCCAGCTGTTCATTTGCCAATGGAATACTGAACATTTGGAATTAGAATGCAAAAACCTGCACCAGTTAGAAGTCGATAAAGTTTATGAGAAGCACCAATTATAAGGAAAATATATATAAGATCTACCATAAATGGTACTAGTCACCGGACAAGATAGCCAAGTGTAATCCAGCATTCCCTATGAAATGCTGGAAGTGTAATAATAATGTGGGTACCTTCATTCATATGTGGTGGAGGTGCCCAAAAGTGCAGGATTTCTGGAAAATGATACAGAAAATAATTCTGAAAATAACAAATATTAAAATCGAGCTATCTCCGGAAACAGTGTTGTTAAATATGCTACCGGAAAGATACAGATGGAAAGACAAATATATGATAATTATAATACTTACAACTGCTAGAATTTTACTAGCTAAATTTTGGAAACAGGATTATATACCGAAGAAAGAGGATTAAGTGTGTCGACTATTAGAGATGGCAGAGATGGACAAGTTAAGTTTAATCCTTTAAGGAACGGATGAAAAAATGTTTGGGGAAAGGTGGAAGCGTTTATATGAATGGATAGAACAAAGTGGATAAGACTCCAAGGGGATTTTGATGATATATGTATTGTATGTTTTTTTTAAATGGAAAATGAAAATAAATGATTTAAAAAAAAGAAAAAAAGAATGCTTCTTCAAGTTACAAATGCATCATTAGTAATGGCAGGGCTGCAGTACCAGCATCTGAGGCTCATGGTTTGGCAGAGGGGCTCAGCTCTAACTGCAGACTCTGGATCAATCCCACATGTCACAATGGAAAAGGTTTCTGGAGCTCAAGGCATCTTACAAATTATAATAAAAAATACAAAAAGCCCTCCCCTTAAAATAATGCACAATTGTCACACTTGCACAGTTTCTGCAGTACCTTCACCATTAGGGGGCAGCATAGGTACCTCTCTGCCCTCAGCAACAGACAACCCATCTGGCTGCATGAATAATATATAAACCCTGCCCCCCATGCTAGTTATTTCATAGCATACATTTACAGAGTCCAAAAAGCTGGATTCTCTTGATTAATTTCAAGTCGCAGTTTAATTGTCACCAGTGGTGGTGGTGGAGGAGGAGGAGGAGGAGGAGAGTTAGATTTATACCCTGCCCTTCACTCAGAATCTCAGAGTGGCTTACAGTCTCCTTCCCTTCCCCTCCCCACAACAGACACTCTGTGAGGTTGCTGGGCCTGAGAGAGCTCTGAAAGAACTACTCTTGAGCAATGTTCCCTCTAAGCTACAGAGTCCTGTGAGCAAAAGTTCTCCTTTGTGAGCGACTGGCATTAAAGTTGTGAGCAAGCAATTTGACTACTGCATAAATTAGCTTGCTCTGGAGCCGTCCTTCCTGAGCTAGGACAAAAATCTGTGAGCTGGAGGCTAAAAAACTGTGAGCTAGCTCACACTAACTCAGCTTAGAGGGAACACTGCTCTTGAGAGAATAGCTCTGACAGAACTATAAGATAGATATTAAGATGTTGGGCTGTTGGCGGAGACAATGGAGCAGGGGAGAGAACTACACACAGCTAGGATTGCCATGTACAGACTGGGTAATTCCTGAAGATTTGTGGCTGGAGCCCAGGGAGGGTAGAATTTCAGAAGGAGTGGGAGTCCTGGGTGGAGTAATGCCATAGAGTCTACCCTGCAAAGTAGAACTTTTCTCCAGGGGAGCTGATCTTTGTCATCTGGAGATGAGTTGGAACCCTGGGGGATCCCGCCCCCACCCCAGGGGCTGCCAACCCTAGTTGTACCCCCACCCTCTTGGAACAAGGGTAGGGTACAATGGTCAAGAACAACAGTTGTGGCCTCACGGTTGGGGCGGCGTCCTGCTTAGACGCGTTTTGCAGAGCTCCGAGATATCAAGGGTTTTTTCTTCTTATCTTTTGGATTTGAATTGCCTCACAGAGTTGCTTTCTAAGTTGGAATAGTTCATTAGGGCAGCTCTGCAGCCTTGTAGCACAGATTGTTTGTTTTGCTCAAGATAAGAATTAAAGAAGACATCGCTAGCGGCTGTAGCTGCAGCTGCAAATCGTATAAAGTCTCCAATTACAGAGAGATTACCAGTTTCAACCTTTATTATTGTGTACTGTCTCATTGCTACTAAAATGACCAAAAAAAAAAAGAAAGAAATAGAAATGACTCAGACTCTGGCTCACCAGTAACATCCTACAGTAAATCCTCAAAGCAATTTCGCATAGATGATTTTTGTTATGACGGAGCTCTGTGGGAGAGGATTCTTCCCTCGAAAAACAGGGTCAGTGTTTTGGAGCTCTCAGAAGACCTGAATCCCACTAGCTCCTTGCAAGTTCCATTCCTGCATAACGAGGCGTTTGCTGAAGGTGTGGGAGAGACTGCTATTTCCCATCAGGATCCTATTTTGGACTTCCGGTTTATGGCGACACGATAGCGGATGTTTCTCCCAGACCTCCCAGGGAAGCGATTCGCGTGCCAGCAGTTTGGGGGGGGGCGACTGGTCGCCCCCCCCCCGGAGCCTTTGTGAAAGGCTCCTAGCCATGGGGCTTTGAAGGGTAGTCTCTTTGCCAGCGCATTGCTGGAGAATTGAGGTGCTCTTCCGCCTCGATGGTCCTGCTGCTGCTGCGTCCGCAATGGAACCAGAGCCGCTGACTGGGACAAGTGTTGGAGATCGGGCATATAAAATGTACCTTGAGCGAGGTCCTTGGACCATCAATGAACAGTGAGTCAAGTTAAATTGAAATGCTGGGAATTTAAAAGAAAGCCCCCCTGGGAACGACAAGATGAGCGAGCAGGGGAGGGGCCCCTCCCATACACATAAAGAGAATAGCGATTTGCCAAGGGGGAGCTGAAGAAAAAGCATTGAAATCTATTTTAAGAGAACAACTAGAGCGCCTGTAAGCCTTTGGGCGAATTTCAGAGACTTTAGCACGTTTTCAAAAAAGTAAACAATCCATAAAAATGGTGTGGGGAAAAACGGAGAAAGGCAGCCAAGCAAAAGTGAAACCACTGGGGAGCATGAGCCCGTGGCTGGAAGATACCACTGAGTTTTCTAAACTGTTAGCGGACTCTTTGCATTGTCTACTGGACCAGATGACGAACATCAATCAACAACTGACAGCTTTAAACCAGAACTTTGCAGATCAGCAGCTCCAATTGACTGAAACTACAAAAAAGACAGAGCAAACAGCTGAGAAAGTGAAGGAAATGGATGCCAACTCCAAAAAGGTTAAGAAAAAGGTTCAAATGCTGGAAAAGAAGCAAGCTTCAGATGAATATCAACTTTTGCAGCTACAAATGGAAAAAGCTAACCTAGTCCTCCGGTTCCAAGGGGTCCCTGAAGCAAAAGAAGAGAATCTAAAGCAACTACTGAGTGATGCGCTAGCCCCAATCACAGATTTAAAAGCGGAATACCTTGTAAGCGAAATAGATGTGGTTTATAGAACCTATTCCATTTATATCAAGAAAAATAATCTGCCTGGGGAGATAG